GCCTCGTTGCTCGCGGTTTCGTCCAGCGAGAGGGCATCGACTTTGAGGAAGTTTTTGCACCAGTGGCGCGCATGGAGTCAGTTCGCCTACTGCTGGCCATGGCGGCAGCGAAGGACTGGCGCATTCATCACCTGGACGTGAAATCGGCCTTCCTCAACGGCGAGCTAGCGGAGACTGTTTTCGTCAAGGAAGCCCCGGGCTTTGTCGTCAAGGGATAGGAGCACATGGTGCTGCGGCTACGGAAGGCACTCTATGGGCTGCAACAAGCCCCGCGAGCGTGGAACGCCAAGCTCGATGCCACTCTGAGTACGCTTGGGTTCACGCGCTGCGCGACAGAGCACGCGCTCTACACGCGACGACGGGGAAGGAGGAGCTTGTCATCGGCGTGTATGTGGATGACTTGATCATCACCGGGGCACGAGAAGGGGACATCAACGGCTTTAAGCGCGAGATGGCATCTCGTTTCCCCATGAGCGATCTCGGGCAGCTCTCCTACTACCTCGGCATCGAGGTGAAGCAGGGGAGAGACTCCATTACTCTCTGCCAGCGTGCGTATGCGGGAAGCTGTTGGAGCGGAGCGGCATGGCTGACTGCAAGTCATGCACGACTCTAATGGAGGAGCGGCTGAAGCTGACGAAAGCCAGCACCGCGGGGAAGGTGGATGCAACACTACCGGAGTATCATCGGCGGGCTGCGCTACCTAGTCCACACGAAGCCAGATATCGCATTCGCCGTGGGCTATGTCAGCCGTTTCATGGAGGAACCCCGAGAGGATCATTGGGCTGCGGTAAAGCGGCTGTTGCGCTATGTCAAGGGGACGGTGGACCAGGGCATCATCTTTCCCAAGACCGGCGGCAAAAGTGGGTTGCGGCTCACGGTTTTCAGCGATGCAGACATGGCAGGCGACATTGATGGCCGGAAGAGCACCTCCGGTGTGCTCGTCTTCCTTGGATCGGCCCCAATCTCATGGCAGTCACTGAAACAGAAGATCGTGGCGCTGTCTACATGCGAGGCGGAGTACGTGGCGGCAGCCACAGCGGCGTGCCAGGCGGTCTGGCTCGTCCACCAGCTCTGATGGTGGACAACCAACCCGCCATTGCCCTTGCAAAAAATCCAGTCCTCCATGACCGGAGCAAGCACATCGATACCCGTTTTCACTTCATTCGTGATTGTGTTGATGAAGGACAAATTGTTTTGGAGTTTGTCAAATTCGGACGGCAGCTCGCAGACATCTTTACCAAGCCACTCGGCCGTCTTCGGTTCATGGAGCTGAGGACCAAGATTGGAATGATAGGAATCAAGCAAAAGCAGCAGGATTAGGGGAAGAATTGTAAGATATAATCCTGCAGTTTCCTTGTTAGTGAAGTGCAACTTCCTTGCACTTTCATTACATTTTCATTGCACTTTCATGGCAGCCATTATGGGATGCTGAATTTTCAGCTTAAGTAATTTCTAGGAAAGTCACTAGGACAGATGCTTTTAGTTCTTATAAATAGGGGTGCAGTTTTTATTTGTAAACACACAGCAAAAAAACTGAATACTCAATACATTGAGTTGTTCAATATCTTCTATCCTAAAAGTGTCCGTTTGTGCCGGGAAGCATTTTTGCTTACCCGAACAGTGCATCCTAGCTGCAAATAGAGACGAGCAGGGACTGACTAACAACTGATTGTCATGTGCTTTGGGTATCCTCAGAATATGTACTTCACTATATTGGAGACTTCAATATTTTAAATAAATAAATAAATAAAAGTAATTGTTATTTTTTGGGTTATGCTACTATGTTTTTATTTTAAATAAGTTAAAGTAAGATGTATTCTTTGTTACTTATGTTTTACTTATTTTTATTTTTTTTCTGAAAAGTATGAAGCACATTCGCTTCTTATTCTTTGCTTATGGCAAGTATAATGAAATGCAACTAAATTCCACTATAAAAAAAAATTAAATCTTAATAAAAATAGGTAATAACAAACTTTTTTAGTAATGACCTTTTAATTTCTACGTGCATGATTTAAATATATTCACTACATATTCCCTTTCAAAAATTGTTATAAAACATAATATACATCATCATGTACAAAAGTATACAAAGTCGCAAATGTACAAATTTAAGTTTTTTCGCACAAAACAATACTAAAAATTAAAAAGAAAAAGAAATTCAGCAATGTAATTGATGTAAATCTATTACTATTTTTCAAAATTATACTAAATATAAAAATTTTTAAAATAATATGCACTCAACAACACACATTCTGAAGTTGCATAATTAATCTATTTTTGATTATTTTTTGGTAACAAAGATATGTCTGTTTTGTCATACATTATATATACACGCTTGTTTTGGTTAATAAAATAAATGATCATTAATTTTTCAGGAAGAAGGAAATGAAAGATGTGGTTTTCCACTAAATTGCAAAGAAAATGCCTAAAATACACGCATGTTTTGTTTAATAAAATAAATGATCATTAATTTTTCGGAAAGAAGAAAATGAAAGATGTGGTTTTCCACTAAATTGCAAAGAAAATGCCCAAATAGTAATACTTTGTTTCATTTCAACATTTGAACTGATAAATAAACAGTTTCTTATAGAAAAGATACTAGTACATAGCTATGAGACAATAATGATATATTCCATAAATTATAACAATAAAATAATATTGACTGGTATAAATAGTTATGAATATTAATATTATTTTTATATTTTTTTATGATATATAATAGTTTACTATATGATTAATATATTTGTCTCACTCGTCATAAAATAACAGTCATTAAAGTTCCTGGAACATGAAAAAGTAACATATTAAAAAATATTCAATATATAATACACAAAACAATACATCTTTCTCTCCCTCTCTTCATTTACTCATTCCTTATTACAATATATTATTGTGATTTATAAATAAGTGATTATTGTAAAACTAAAATATTTATAGCATACATAAACTAACACTTAATTTTTTCTTTTTTAAAAAGTGTATACTATTTTAACGTTATAAAATTTATTAATTTTTAATTACGTCAAAATTATTTTTACTTTTTAATTTATAATAATGTATACTATAAGATATTTTAATTTTATTTTATTTTTTGTAATAAAATAATTACAAAAAAAATATAAAGATAGGTAGAGGTCGGTCTAAACTCACTTGGGAAGAGTCGGTTAAGAGAGACCTTAAAGATTGGAATATCTCCAAGGATTTAGCGGTGAATAGGAGCGCTTGAAGGCTAGCAATCAACATGCCAGAACCGTGACTTTTGCTCCAATCTCTTCCTTTTGTTTAGCCCTTTTTGTGTTCCTCTTACCATTGGTTCTCTTGGGTTTCATCTCTAGCCTACCCCGACTTGCTTGGAACTAAAAGGCTATGTTGTTGTTGTTGTTGTTTGTAATAAAATAATTTATATGGCAATTCGATATCAATTGATTTATCATTATAATTTATAATAGTATACATATTTTGTTGAATTTTTTCTAAGTTAACGATGCATATCATTGTTCGATAGATGCCTTTTTGGTTTACTATTATAATTTACAACAATGTACATTATTAATATTTTATTTTTTCTTCCTATGTTAATAATTTATGGATATATGATCTATTGATTTGTCATCATTAACAATATAAATTATAATATTTTTTATTTCAAAATTTAAAATTTACATGGGAGTTCGACAGATGACTCAATGATTTATCAAATTTATAACAATACATATTATAAATATTTTGATTCTTTATAATCTAACAATTTGTATAGCAGTTCAACAAATGACCAATTGATTTGTCAATTTAATATCGTATTCTAATATCGAATATACTTGATCCTCGAAATAATTTTTTACTTATACTTTTTTATTATTAGTATTAATTTTATAAACACATGAAAGATAAATATATTAACGACTATTTTAGGTTATATCATATATCAAATACATTTACTTATACATAAATTGATATTTTATTGTATGATAATTTTAGACTAACTCTTTATTTATAAATTAGTATTAAATAATAAATTAAAGCACATTTTATATATACAATATTAACAAATAAACATATCGATACTTTAATAAATAATTATTTTTTAAGATAGTAAAAGAAAAGTTAATTTAAAATTATATAAAAAATGGATAATAAATAAAAATATTATTAAGTTTTAAGTTTTTAAAGAGAAATGACACTAATACTAAGGATGAAAAAGAAAAAAGTCAATGATATGGAAACTAAATAGGAAAAAAAAAATTATAATTAGGAAATTTTTTCTTCTAAGCGTTTCAAGAAATATTTTTTGTTTCTAATTTACAAACAATTATCCTTCGAGTGATTAAACTATAACCATATCATTAATTTATATTTCCCAATTCAAATAAAATTTTAGATTATGAAGAAATTAAAAAAATGGTTGTAAATTTTGGAAAAAGCGTATCTCATATTATTGATATTACGTCACGAAAAATAAAAAAAAAAATAAGTAGAAATAAAGTAATAGATTAAAAAAAATAGAATAAAATTAAAAAATAGATTCAAATTAATTATTGATATCACATTACATAAATAAAAATAAAAGTCTCGCCATTGATGGTAGAAAAAATTACCAAAAGACAATAACAAAAAAAATACCAAAAAAAAATCCATATTAAGCAAGATTTTTTTTGTGGGAAATCCATGCTATTTCTAGTAAAGACAAACCTTTTTTATATATAGACAGATAGTGTGTTTTCATGACTTTTATATGAAAACCAAATTAAAATTGCACACATAATCAGAACTTCAATGGTATGGTGTTCGAAAGCTTTTGTTTTAGCTTATCAAAATTTCATCTAAGATAGTGTGCAAAAATGTAGAAGATGTTGAAAGTAAGATAATAGGGTAAAGGTTGGGTTCGTTGCAAACCTACTGCTTGGTCACCACACATCTGTAGCATGTGTTAAAAACCATTGTAGGGTCAAATAATCCGGTAGGTTTTGAAATGGACAAGGATACTTATTTAAATCATGTTCTTAATGCTTTTTGCACCGTCGATTATTGTCTGAAAAGTTTCGACCACGGATGAAAGTTGGCGAACTTTTGGCACTACTGACTATTGGGTTGAACTTTTGTTGATTCTTGGTCATTATTTTGTGTCTAAAGTTTAATAAAAAAAAGTAATAATCAATTGAAATAGCCCAAATGTTACACTGGACTTTTATATGTTCATAGTGTAGTCCAAATAGTTTCAACTAATATACATTTTTCTATGTTTAATTAATCAAACCATGATTAAATTGGACTATTTAAAATCATAAAATAGTACAATTTTGAATTATTCATTTTGTATTGACTTAAATGAAAACAAAATTATTAAATAATTAGATAGATTCCTTTGAGGGGCTTCCATGTCATGTATTTAACAAGAATCAAATTCAGTCTCTTTCGTAGTCTCTTTCGTATGCACGTTGGTCTCAAGAATTTTGTCTTTAGTCATTAACCAACTTTATATTGTTTTGAGAAATACAAACAAAAATAAATTGAAAATATTAATTTATGATGATGAACACAACACGGTTTCTTTTCACGGATGTTGGTTGTAAATTAAAAATCTCGTGTCTTCAACCATGATCAATTATATGTCGTTTACAGAATTACGAACAATGAATGAATTTAAGTATTAATTTATGATAATGAAAATAACACGCACATGAAAAACTTTGTATATAATAAATTATCTATCAGATAACAAATAAACTATATAAACTATCATTTGTACTCCTGGTACTTTATATCTTAACAAATTTCTATATAATTTTGTGCACTTGCACAGTTACAATACTCATTCATTTATTAAACGAGTCAAACTCAAAGTGTTACGCGTCTCGAATGGAATGACATGCATATTCAACCCAGTAATAATATATTTATGTGATTGTTATTGAATATTATTGTAATTTTTTTTATCATGCTGCAATATTAAAAATTATTATATGATATATTTTTACAAGACACATATTATTAAAAGACAGTGATAAAAATGAAATTTTTAACAGGTCCAATTTATACAAAAATGTAACATTTGAAAAGTAAAATTTACAAGCGAACAAATAAAAGGATAAAAGTAAATGTATAGAAAATAACCATAATACAATATAAATAAAAGAAAAAATCACGTTAAACATTTATGATGAAAAATTAAATTATATCAGCTCAAGATAAATGAGAAATAATATAGCATGAAAGTGATATAAATATATAGTTGTGTAATTAAATTCAGGAAAATCTCACAAATCATGTAAATTTAAAGAAAATCATAAATGATATAAATAATATCGAGAAAAGAGAATTTAAAGAAAATCATGTAAATTCAGGAAAATCTCACAAATCTGATAAAGATTTCTACTAGGACTTTGTTTTTTAATTTATTAAAAAAGCCTCCAAAAGTATTCCAATTTATAGTCTTACAAATTCTTCCTACTTTCAATATCGGGTGACTTATAGAGACTTTTAGAAAGTTTTAGTTTAACTGAATACCTTAAAACTTTTAAAGATTTATAAAAAGTCTTTAAAAGTCAACTGAGTAAACTTTTTAGAAGTCTAGTGAATACCCGAAATTCTAAGTCTTAAAAATTCTTTAAAAATTTTAATGGGATACACCTAAACGAACCAAACTTTCCAAACTTTCGCAAACAAAAGCTCATTCGTGTTCGACAAAAGCTCGTTGGTTTGTTAATCGAGCCGAGTTCAAACAGAAAATTAGGCTCGTTTAATAATCGAACGAACACGAGCTCGTTCGTGAACGTCCGATTATGTTCGCAAATATTAATTTAATATAATTTTATTTTATTTTTTATATATTTACATAATATTTTTATTAAAAAAACTAAAATTTAATATAATTTTATTTATTTTTTATATATATTTACATAATAATTTTAATAAAAAATCTAAAATATAAAAATATTTTTATTTTATTCTTTTACTTTCGAGTTCGAACGAGTTCGAACGAACAAATTTCGAGTTAATCAAACATATTTAAAAAGTTTATGTATTATATTATTCGAACACGAAGAACTCGAACACGATTTTTTGCTCAAAAAATAAATGAACGAACACGAGCTCGAACAACCCAAGCTCGGCTCGGTTCGGTTCCTTTAAAACACTAGATACACCCTCTTATCATACTGATCCAAAATGAATTAGGAAGATAGATTTGTTCAACAACTATTCCCTGCTTAAGTAAAAAAAGAACCCCAATGGCAGCATCCATCCAATCATAACCTCAGAAACCCTAAATATGTCATGCAGATCCTAAATGAACTAGGAAGATAGATTTGCTTTTCAAATAAAAATTAGTACATGCAAAGTAGAAAAACTTACTGAAGAGCGTCAGTTGCGACATCTGCAATGAATTTCTGCGTAGCAACTGCTACCAGCCTTGTCCTAACAAAGCAAAGGATAAGGATATATCACAAAACTCAAGCAAAGGAAGATAAAGACAAAGCTCAAAAGGGAGCAAACACCATAGATGTATTTGCTTGGTACTATATTTTTTAAAATCTCCGTTTAACAAAAACTGGTACTTTAACTACTCCATCGATCCCATAAATGCCCGAACTATTTGCGTTACTAACACGCATAGTTTTAAATGGCGAATGGTGAGGCGATTGGCCCATGGCCTCGCCACGAGGTGAAGCGATTCGCCATGGCGAGGCATCGGCTACACATGCCACCAAAATGTAGAAAAATAATATCATAGATGATGCAATAGTATATATTTGTTC